ATAGACAAGAGGGAAGGCAGCTAGTCAATATCGTCTATGCCAACTCTTTACCAACGAATAGGGCCCAACATGGCCAGGTGGTTAGGGTACTCGACTCGCAATCTGAGGGTCTCGGGTTCGAATCCCCGTCCCACCAAACATGCTCGCCCTTTCAGCCGTGGGGGCGTTATAATGTGACGGTCAATCCCACTATTCGTTAGTAAAAGAGTAGCCCAAGAGTTGGCGGTGGGTGGTGATGACTAGCTGCCTTCCCTCTAGTCTTACACTGCTAAATTAGGGACGGCTAGCGCAGATAGCCCTCGTGTAGCTTTGCGCGAATAGTGGGATCGACCGTAATATTATAATGCCATAAAGTCTGAAACGGCGAGCATGTTCGGTGACAAGACTCGAGCCCATAGATTGGAGAGAAGAATCACAAATACCATAATTACCGTATTATCATTCAATAGTAGAGTGCATTTATCTGTCATTTTTTAAAACAGAATTGTTTACATGTTACGAATGTTCATATAATTATCACGTATTCGTAGTTATTCGTCATATTAAAAACAAGAATTTTTTTTTTCTCATTCAGCTAACAACTTTTACACCAAATGTGGAATGTACCATCTCACTCTTATTCGGTTATATACAATAAAGGGTACTTAGCAAACCAAAGAGTTTGAAAAGCTACAATTCAATAGCACACTCAACTTTAAACTGCATCACTTACAAATACACACGAGGAAAAAATAAGAAACGCTGTAAACGTCACGCAACTGATAAACTCTAAAACAATACCCCCCAGAGTTTACGATTACATTAATTTAACAATGTTATACAACGTTTATATTATTGGTTGAATAAGTGTTGATAATCACAAAAACTTTCAAAATCTATTCTTCATGACGAATTGTAACACAAATATGGCGTGTGATAGTTAGTGAAAAAAACAGTGTGTGGAACAAACTGTCAGAAGAAATTAGTGAAAACTAATTTGGACTCGTAAGAAGACTGTCAGACTGAAGAGGACGAACGTATATTTTGTTTTTTTTATTAAGCACAAAGCTACACAATGGGCTACAGGTGCTATGCCCACCACGGGTATCGAAACCCGGGTTTTAGACCAACGTATGTGTCGAAACTAGCTTCTCAAATATTTTGATAGTTTATTGCCATTTACTGTGGTTCTTCAGTATCAAACTATTGCTTGTTTCGGCTGTATTTCTTGAAAAAAAAAGTGAAATTGATAATTAGAAAATAAATGAAAAGCTCAATAAAAACAACCTAGAAGAAAATTCTCCTAGAGCATAAATCAAATTTAATGATCCTCCCCTAGTGACTCAGCGATAAGACCGAGGTCTTACAACGCTAAAAATCGGGTTTCGATACCAGCGGTTGGTACAGGACAAATAACCCAATACGTAGCTTTGCCCTTTACCAACAGCCAATAAAAAGAAACTTTAGGCAACCATGAAAAATCCATAAACTAATATTTAATAAGGAAATATTTAAAAAATTAGCATTTTCCATCTCCAGAAACACTTAAACAGTATCATCTTTTTAAAAGATTGCATAATAACACTATCAAGATGCTTTACAGAAATACGGATACTTGCAAGATACGTGTTTCAGGTTTTGTGCTGCTCTTCGAACTTTTCCTTAATTGTTAATCCTGCTCAACATGGTGGCTTCTATGAAAGATGGCGAAGTCAATTTTAGGCTAGAAATGTTAACAAACTCTTTATAGCCCATCCACTGTACGTGATCGTCTGCTTACTCAAGCAGAACAAAAGCATTTAATTCCGCTGAAGTTGCACTTAACAAGTATATGGTAAAGTGGGATTGCTGTGATTCCATTTTTTGACCCATCTTTCTCATGTAAACAGCCAATGACTTTGTGATGTTGCCGGAAATTTAAACTCCCATTACCTTGTTAACGATACTAGATGCGTCCAGCTTCACTGCAACATTTTTTGGCTACGAAGATTCTCATTCTTAACTACAGCCTTCACCTTGTGATGATGATACTGCTCCAGATTGGCTTGAGGATTATTTCAAAGCCAATTGCTGTACCCATTTGTTCGCCTCCACAATAAACACTTTTCTTTCTTTTTTTCCTACCACGCTTTTCAGATAGCCTTTCATGGAAAGAACAGTGGCATACACTTCAATTACAAGTCCAAGATGGCAGTGAACAACGAATAATTTGGAATTATCCGTGAATCAAATGGCGTTAATAGTTCACATCTACAACACACGGCTAGATTAGCACATATAAATATCCTAAATAGTGTGGCTAACCCTCTAAATTGCTATATATTGTGTTCTTTCAAAATAACAGGCCTCACTAAAACGTCAGCTACAAGCTGGAGTTAATTTTTTGTTTTTGTATTTTCATGTAACACTTGATAAAAGACAACAACTTCAAATTATATTAAGTCTGGCAAACACGGGAGGTAATATAACATTAATGGTGTACTACTGGAAAACCATCTATATTTAAATTGACGGGTCTTTTTAGCGTTTTTTTTATTAGTTTTCCAAAATAAACTTTAATCAACATATGAGCAGACAAAAGTTATTTCATTACGTGGAACATTCCTCATAACAAACAAAAGACAACTACGGTCAGATTTCAATTTAAACTGGGTTCCTGTCTTGAGTTTATTAGCATAAGACACACATTTAAGTTCAAAATAAATTTTTATCTTTTGTTTTTGCAAACTTCCAGAGATGTTGAGGTATTACATAACTTAAAATATAACAAGAACCTTTAACACACTTGCGTGTATTTTGTATCCATGTGTCATAGCTTTGAATAGATGAATTTCATTGCTCCACTTAATTAACTTCTGTATTTATACTTGTCATCCAGATCTGGGTTAAAACCATTTACCTACTGTAACACGTATAAAGCTCATTTCATGAGACAAAAAAAATAAAAAGTGACAAAACCCATAGTTAGGTTTTCTTATTTCTGGAGAAGCTCAACTTAAGTCACATGATGCTGTCTCTACAGCCTGATTTGTATGAATATTTTACCTGTTTATGTTATATGTAATTTAATACAGTGAGATTACATTATCTGCTTTAAGCTTTGATGAATGAACAAACAGGGTTATCCTGTCTCAATGGATCAACATTTCCCAAATTATATAAATAAATAAATTTTTGCTATAAATTTTTATTCTATGCTGAATAAAAACATATATATATAAAAGCATTTAATACAAAACTAAAAAAACCACTCCAGCCTTGAGACTTTTACAGAGCAGATTGTACAAAAGCTTTGAAACTAAACACCTGTAGGTCACTCATATCTAAAACTTCATTCAGCATAGAATAAACATTTATAGCATCTTAAGGAAAACTCAAACTGGATACAGCTGCATAACTAAGTTTAAAGAACAGTAAGCACTGGCTTTCCTGTACCAGTATAAAACATTTCAGTACCAACCACATAGATGGTCTTTTTCATCTCCTATACATCTCTGCAATCACAACACACAAAATCTTCCAAAGCTTTTATTTATTCTTTTAAAAACTAGAAGACATTATTTCAAAATTCTCAACACAACATTGTTCCAGTTTTTAAACTTTACAAACACATCTAAAAAAAACTGGACATTAGCATTACTATTTTCAACCATCTACTCAGAAACAAATTCTAATGAAGACAAATCTTCTAATAACAGAAAAATTACTGAGTTACTTGTCTTCACTGTCTGTGTGATCAATAGTTAGTTTGATAATGAATCATCATCTTCTAATAACAAAAAGATCAATGTAAGTTACCTTTGTTTTCTATCTATGTGATCAATATGCAAGTTTGATAACAAAGCATGATCTTCGGACAGAAAGATTTTTGATGGTTACCTGCCTTCAATGTCTATGTGATCAATATTTAGTTGATAATGATGCATTAATATTCTATTGGCAGAAAGATCACTGTGACTTACTTAACCTAGCAGTCTCTGTGATCAATATTTACGGCTTGATATTACCAAACTGGTTACCTATTTTGAATAACTTAAAAAAAACTTTTAGCACATCTAATTATGATTAAATTAAACAAAATGAACAGTCCTTTTTCATTTTACAATTTTTTTTTTCAGACATGTTGCAGTTATCATATTCACACTATACTAATAGTTTAAAAACTGTGAAGTGACAAGGTCCAAACACGTCCATTTGAAATTTTGTCAATTTTAGTCAAAACATGAAAAGTACTTTAAATGTTTACCTAGACTAATCTTTAAAGCTTTAATTTCAGCATGTTTTCTCAAGAAATGTAATAAAAAGGGGTACATTTTATACAAAACAGAAACAGCATCATTACAAAAAATTTATGGTATTAGCCTGTAGTTTTCTTAAACAACTATGGAGAGTAACATTTAAAATCAACTTCAAAATAAGTCTAATTTTCAGTTTTTCCCTCATCAGCTAGAATTTGTTCCAAAGCATCCAAACATTTCAGGCAAAAGTTTTTGTTAATATACTCCATCAAAGGAAAATAATCTGAAAACTTCAGAAAAATCATACAAAAACAAAATAACCAAAACCATGCAGATTTTTCTAGCAACATTAAAGTTATGTTAGTGATATTTGTTCACATATAATTTTACCCAGTTTTTTCTACAATTTTTTAAGCTAAAAGAGCTCACAGAATTATATATATATTTTACAACCTAACATGGTTGAAAAAAGAAACTAATTATAAAGTGATATTTATCACAAATTCACCCTTTGTCTATTTAAACTTAGCTCTTCCACTTATAATCAGGTTAATGCAATACAATAATTCAGTAGAAATACAACTGTCACTAATGAGTTTAAAAAACATCCTTTTCACACTCGTTCTGTAATCTTATACATTAAGCTGTTAGCATTCACATGCAAAACTCAGGACTTGTACTTAACATGTTTGCTTACACAAAAAACAATCACCAAAAATCTTGAAAATATTTTACAAAGTTGTGGACTGTATTTTGAGATAACGTATCCTCAGAGTTATTCCGTTTTTTTTTTTTTTACTAGTTACCAAAACATTCTTGTTAATGTATCCTTGTTAGTTCTTCAATAATCTTAACCAGATCATCTACTGTTGCCTCATGTTTCATCCCACTTCCATCATCAATCTACCAAGAAGAAAAGGATTTGAATAATTCAATTTTATATTAAATATCACACCCATATAACAAAAAAAGTGATCATTACATTTAGGTTTTGTAGGTCTTTATTAAAAAGTAGCCTAACAAAATAAATGTTAGCCTAACACAGATTTGAAACACATACTATTGTCATTATATATTCTCAACCAATTTTTGACAGATGAAAACAAAAATCACAGGCAGTCAACAGGACATTTTGTTTAAATATGAGATCCCATACACACCTGTAAACCATTAACCACTTCCTGCATCTTCTCTCTGTTCAGGTCTAGAAAACTTTCAATCAAGTCTCCATCAATGAACCCACTAGCTTGTTCCATCTTTCTCTCTGTAGAGAAAGATCTCCAAGTAATCTAGTTAAGAATTTATCTCATAATAGAACTGTTTTATAAGCCAACCAAGGAAAAACTAAAATTATTTATAATGAGAATTACATTATAGACATCTTAAATTAAGAGAGTAGATTCAAACTTAGTCTTCACTTAATAAACGTTTATACATTAAATTTCTTTAAAATCATGACTAGTAATTTTTTTATTTAAAAATTAAATACTAAGTGAACCATTAATGATTAAAAGTAGCAAATGTACAGTGTCTAAATGAGCAGTACCAAGTGAACAGTTTGAATGCCCCTAGTATCTGTCTAAATGATTATTATTAGGTAAGCATTCTATATGGTGAACAGTTTGAATGCCACTACTATCTTTGCATTTCCTTAGTTATAGGTTTGATATCATTTTGTCATCTTGCTCCCTCTGTAATATATCCTGCAGACACCCATGTATGGTTGTCTTTTTTACTATGCAAGCAGTACAAATGACTGCGGTATCATATTTTGTCAAAATAACTAATACCAAGTGAGGCATAAGTGATTTAGTACCATGAAATCAGCCTGAATAATTCTAGTACTATGTAAACATTCTGAAAAATTCTGGTACTATATAAACATTCTAAATTTATAATACATACTTAAAAATCTAGAGAATTCTGGTACCAGAGGAACAGCCTGAAAGAATTTGGTGTCAGGTTAATAGTCAGGAGAAATCTGGTACCAGAGGAACAGTCTGAATAATTCTGATATCAAGTTAACAGTCTGAATAACTTTAGAATCAGGTTAAAAGTCCAAACTATTTTAACACCAGCAACACTGAACAGTAAAAGGTAAGGCAATGTGCCAAAATAATTACTGTGTCAAATAAACATAAAATTGAGAGCACAACAGTGGACAAGACTGAGAAAGGGAGTAGTCTACTGACTGTAGCAAGGTTTTGTTGTTTTGAGTAGCTGGAAATTAAACATAAGGAATCAAAAACAAAATACATTTGGTTATGAAACTTACAGAAACAAATAAGCATTTAAAGATATTTAAGAATATTTTTTGAAGTGCTCCATAATTGTGTTTTTAAAGCCTTCACCTATTCATGTGTAATTGAGTATGTGAATATGACACATAATATAATATGCAAATTTTATGGAGAGCTTGTTTGTCCTCTGAGAGTTGTTTACAGAAACTTAGGAATGTGGAATAATTGCAAATAGTGTTTACTAACAAATGTACACATTAATAAGCTAAGGACTAATACTCAATCTGCTGTGCTTATCCTCCACTACAGGTGGCTCAGCACATGAAAGTATTTCATTATTTTAATTTAGATGCTATGTGAATAATTTCACTTGTTGTTCTTCTTTACTATGGTGATTACAAAGTACCTTCTTGCCACTGCAGTTACTATATAATGCAAAAAACCCTGTCCAGGAATGTCATTTTCTGTACCCACTCTTCAAATTGGCCTATTTATCATATCGTTTTCTTTGCACTATTGTAGATGACATTGTTTTTCACACCTTTATTAATTAGGTGTTTATGATCTCTGTGGATCCAAAAGAATGGCATATCCACACTTCATTACCTCAACAAATTCCAAGTAGTAGCATGCTTAGATTGACCATCTGAAAACTTAGGTATTGAAGAGAGCAGCACATCTTTATCAATTAGGTGTGTATCATCTCTGTAATTCAAAAATATCAGAACATTAATGCAGCAACATTTCTAGTAATTCAGTTAGTGACAAAATGGGTAGACAAGACCTCAATATGAGACTGAAAACAGAAATGCTAATTTCTTTCGTCATCTAGTGATTCAATGCGAAAGTATAAACAAAAGTTGTTTAACATCACCAACAGACATTTCCACATCAAGAAACGTTCTTAATATTTTATTATAGAGCAAATCAAGATGAAAAACTCCCACCTCCATAAATAGTCTAAATGGTTACCATGATTATCTGAAAACTGAAAGAGTATTAAGACCAACTGTCTCCATCTAAAGTTGTAATTAAATTCTATTAATAACTTTCCTTATCTTTAATAGTTATACTGAAGAGAGTTAATATAATTAAAATTTTACAGTTCTCACCTGGTTATGGTAGAGGATTTGGATTCACTTAAATGAGCTAATATTATGATCATCAGCACCAAGCTGTAAAACCACTGTATGCGTTAGATTAAACCAGATAGCTAAACATTTTCAGTTGATCTCTTGCAATAAAAAAAAAAAAGTAAATCAAGTATATGAAAAAAAAATGAATCTAAATCTCAGAGTTTCTGTATCTGTTACAAACTAGTTTTTGGAAAGGATATAATGCATGATCTATTTTGCCAACAGATTTGATTACAGAAGTCAGTTTTGTCTGGACGTCCAATAAGAAATTGTAGAATTCTGCTGGAACTTGAGCTACAAGTCCTGAAATAGAAAAAAAAATATTTGGACAAAAATAATTATTCAAGCTATATAACAAATATATATTTATATACATATATATAGAAAAAAAGTTAATTTCATTTTTTACTTTCCATAAAAGATTAAAGATTGGTCAAAAATTAAAAATCACACATTTCTGGGTGGGGGGTTCTTGTGCGGAACAGTGTTTTGTTTACATGTATATGTTGTTTTTTTTTCATGATAAATCACAGAGAAATTCTTACAGTATTAAATCAACCAAATCAATATAATTATTGAGCATTTATAAATCCACTGTAAAACAGCTTTCATAAAACACTATCTATTTTAAATCAACTGCACTAGCTAAATACATTTTACAATCAAGATAAAAGATCTGCTTTTTGATGAAGGGTCTTTCTTTCTGGCTTTGCTCAATGTCATGATGCAACTGTTTAACATACTTCTATGGCACAACTGTTTAATTTACTGTCACAATGAAACTGTCTTTCTACCATAATATAGCTGTCTAACATACTACTGTGATGCAACTATTTAACTTATTGTCATGATGCAACTCTCTAAACTACTACCATGATGCCATTACCTAACTTACTACCATGATGTAACTGTCTAAATCACTGCTATAATGTCATTGCCTAGCTTACTATCATGATGCAACTGTCTAACTTACTTCCATGGCACAACTGTTTAACTTACTGTCACAATGAAACTGTCTTTCTTCCATAATATAGCTGTCTAACATACTACTGTGATGCAACTATTCAACTTATTGTCATGATGCAACTCTCTAACATACTACCATGATGCCATTACCTAACTTACTACCATGATGCAACTGTCTAAATCACTGCTATAATGTCATTGCCTAGCTTACTATCATGATGCAACTGTCTAACTTACTTTCATAATGCAACTAACTTACAACCATGATGCAGCTAACTTATTGCCATGATGCCACTGTCTAATGCACTGCTATGATGCAACTGTTTAATTTATTGCCATGATACAACTAATTTAGTGCTTTCTTGCCACCAACTTACTGCCATGACGCAACTGTTTGACTTATTATTAAATGTCACCAAAGATATAAGCTATGAGATGTTTTTTGTTGAAAAATTACAGTGCTTTTTTCTGCTTATGTTCATCTATAAATACAGTAAAACATGAAAGAGAGCCAAATATAATCTAAGAGACTGTTTGTTGGATTTTGTACATAGTCATACGAGGGCTACCCACACTTAATTTTGAAGTGATATACTAGTGGGTAGGCACCTAATCAACATCACCCAATGCCTATCCCAAAAAGTGAGACTTGACACTCACTCTTATAATGTATCCACTGCACCAAAGTGTGAAGCACAATTTGTTTTTTTTTGGTAGTAAAGGGACAAAAATCACAGAGCCTAGGCTCCACAGTCTGACACACTAACCACTGGATTGCGTTCAGCCCCGCAGAGACTGAATCAAACTTCAGTATAAAACCCAAAAAATTAAATAATCAGTAGAATTATTAATTTTAACAAAAAGCCTACCAATAGCTCCATGAACCGTTCCAAAAAGTACAGAACCTTGAGTAGGAGTTGTCATCTCACCAGGATGCTGCATAACCAGAGACCCTTAGAACAAAACATAGATACTAAAATCAAACTTGGAATTAAAGAAATATAATTAAGATAGGAATACTTAACATTTTAAAACAAAGTGACCAAAGTTAAAAATGATGTGGTAATCATACACAATGCATATATGCAAAAAAAAAAAAAGAAAAAAACAAAAAATACTATTACTTACTTATTTACTTACTATTAGACACTATGTTCGTAGTAAGTTTTTAACCGTATTAA